GAAGCAAGGAAGCAAAGAATGGTGCAGAATTGGGTGCAAAGAATACAGCCCCCTCTCTCCATCCTCTCCTGCCGCCTGCCATGAGGCAGGCCCGCCTAACCCTAACGCAAAGATAGGTGGCACTGTGTTCTTGGAGATGTCAAACCAGAGCTTCATCTCCTCGGGACATCCAATAGCACATGTCGCTCTTTCCAAGCACCAGAGGAGCCCTTCTTGGTGATCTAGTCCTTAGGTGTTGCAGCTTAAATAAAAATTCAGATGATCTGTTTGTTTGGAGAAAATATTCTATTACTTCTGGTTTACATATTTACTGTGCAATATTCTTAGCTTATGAAGACTGACGTGTTTCACCTCAGAGTGCTGCATTGCATGTAAAGATGTTTAATTTGTAGGGGTTGGAGGGAGGAGACTTGGTTAAGAGATTTTCTCTGCAGGATTGTTAATAGCCTCGGGAACTTATTTAGAATTGAGCAAACTGAGAGACATTGAAGGCCACTGACTAGTCATCTCATGGGCTAGGAGCTAAAGTCAGCCAACATCAAACTGGAAATAAATTGCAAAGGTTGGGTTAGCTTGAAACAGTAAGTGTAAATTACTGTTGTACGACATTATACATTGCTGTGGCAAATTATCCATATTTGTTTTATATAATCTTTCTAAAAGATGTGCTTTAATTCACTGCAATTTGCTGTTTTGCATGAGGCAAATTCCACAGCCTTTTCTGTGTAAGAGGCCGTATTAGATTATAAAAATAGTTTATTCTGGCCTTTAAAGGAATTAATCCATGTTCAGCTCATTTTTATCTTAGTCTTCGAGCAAGTTGGATATCACTCCTGGGGTGTGGCAGTGAAGCTAATAAGGTGATTTACTACATTTCCAGAGGCCTGATTTGGCACTTTCCTACAGAATTGTGCTTCAAACTGTCTTCATTTGACCTATCTGAGAGAGCCAGGTTCTGGGTCTTCGGACTTAAAAGCGTCCAAATGTCATTCTAAAGTTACCATTGTTTTTCCTGCCTTTTTTTTTGTAAACAGAGCTGTTCCTCTCAAAGTCCAAATGGGTCGTCTGATGTTCTTGATGTGGCCATGTATCTAATTGTCCCATCTTTGATTTGCACCTCACTTAATTTGGAGAAAACCTAGGAAATGTCAATATTTTTCTTTGCACAATGGAGAAATAAGAGGTTTAAAATAACTGAAATGGACATATCTTTTAATATGTTTCTTTCATTAACGTGACAATTTTAAAAAAAGCCAAAATGCTTTTTGAAGACAATATATAGGAAGAATCAAAATGAAAGGTACCCTGGTTTTATTTCACTGATAAATCATGAAAAACTATTACTGCAAAGACTACAAAACTCCAGTAAGTGTTCCTGGAGGTTGTGACTGTGACAGGGATCTTTTAGTAAAATTATAAACTAAACTGAACTAAATCTATGAATTAAATGGCAGAAATGTGTGGTTTTTTTCTTTGGTTATAAAAAAGCAGGTGCTTGAGCTGAAAATATAGCAGACCTGAGATCTAGAAAGGTTTTGTAAGGTAGTAATATTGTCTAGAAAAATGAAAAACAAAACCCAAAAAACTGTCCCTCCCAAAATATAAATTTGAGGGCGTTCAACCAAGATCACAATAATCAAAACATGACTGAACACCCTCCCTTCGAGCACAATGTAAGGCAGCACATTTATACTATAAAGTCAAAACAGAGCTAAAAGCAGTAGCATAATCTCAAATAATATGGTTTTTATGGAAGTGAGCACTACGTATTATGAAAGCAGGGTGTCAGAAGAATATGGTGTATTACCCTTTATGCAAATGAAAAATTATTTTTCTTTGAAACTAAAACACTGATTATTTCAATGTATTTTAAGGAGCAACTTAATGAAGAACTGTCAGTGGTTGCTCACATAGAATTGTACGCACGCTAGAGCTCCTCAGGACATACAGTTAAGAAACTCTATTTAGATAGATTTTTTTTTTCCCCAATATATTGGTCCACTTAATTATGATGTAAAATATTTGAAAAGGACAGAGGTAGTAGGCTGTATCTCTGGCTGTATCTCTGGATGCCTCTATGACTTAAGAGAATGAGATATACTCGTATACCAAAGTGATGGATTGTCAATATCAAAATTATATAGTAATACTATTGTATGGGTTCCAGAAAAATCTTATTTATGGGCACACATTTTAAGGTCAAGAGAAACCAGTAAGGTCAGAAGAAGACATCTGTTTTGAACTTCTCTGTAAAAAACATGTATTTTCTGCCAGCAATTTCTACCCCAAGCTGGGAATTTATGTAGAACAGCTCAGGTAACAAAAATTTTTTTTCCATTTTCTAGCAAAGTAAGTACAAAGGAATATGATAGTGTGGACAATGACGGTCCCTCTTATGTATTTGTGACTAGCATTATCTTCAAAAATGTCAACAGGTTCTGCTGCTGCTCTTGTTCACTCGCTAGAGCCACATTTTGTTCCCTTTGCTTTGCATTGCTCTGGCCTTTGGTGTTTTGATTGAAATAATGCTGAGAGCTTTGGCTTCCATAGACAAATTTTGTTAGAATTATTTACTTTGGACTCTAGTATCCTGGTTGCTTGACTAAGAGATAACAAAATTATCAGAAATTATATGGAAGTCACTTTTTAGACTTAATTGTAGGATGTCACTGGGACTTCAGATAATGCTGGATCTTGACATTAGGACCATGTAGGAAGCCAAACTAAAAAGTTTCTTTCGTGATTCTGTTTTTATTTCTCACCCTCCACAACCTGTCTATTTATAACTATTTTTTTCCATCATTCAGTAGGGGAAGAACTTAGATGTGAACCACTTTTATACTGCACGAAGTTAAAAGCTTTACGCTACCAGTAATGCCGATTAATTACACTCTTTCCTGTGCTATATATATATTTCCTTTGATTCACTAGCAAAACCTAATCAATTCTACTTTCCCAAAGATTTTTACTGAAATTCGCCCTGTTAAAGAGGATTAATATCAATGGTGCACAGCTGGGGAGGGAGTTTGCAAGTGTACAAGAAGGAAAAGACTTGTACCAGCAGGTCACTACTGAAACCCACCCACAAGGGCTGGCAGCAGAGAATGCTTCCAAAGAAGTTTTACTTTTTTCCACTCGGTGAATGTGGCACTAACTAATGGGAGAGAAATGTTGAGAAACATTTGTTTTCTGTTGAGATCTATGAGCCAAGTTAATTGTTTTATTTGTCTGATTTATTATACTTGAATGGATAAAGTCCTATTAATATTGCACTTTGGACAAGAAGTTAAAGCCAGAATAGTCAAAATGTTACTCATCTGGTTGGAGTACCTCAATTTTATATGAGGGAACAAAATTAGATATTCTTTTTAGAATGTGGATGTCTGTAGCTCACTTCAAAGTGGAAGCATGTAACAGCAAACTTTATGCCAATATATTCTCTGTCTCTGCCATAGTCTTCCAAATAGCTGTTTCTGAAAAACAGAAGTGTTGCTATTTTTTATACATTCTAGCTATTCTGTCCAAGTCAAATATTGAAATGGAAATTAGTGACTATAACTTGGTCTCCAAAATAAAATATATTTGACATGATCAAGTGTTTAGGGCTTTCATAAATGTGTCATCAATGTCTAAATATCAGTTGCTTGACATAATACCTAATATTTACTTCATTTTCTCCTTATGAGCAATTTGGGAGTGAAAGTATTTTTTCATTGTTCCTTGCTTGTTTAGACAATAACACAGATCAAGCAGAAGTAATTCCAGAGACAGGATTAGAGCACCAGGCTACAGCTAATCCTGCAGCTGCTTCTTATAAGGGCTTGCGCTCACCCCCTGGTATCTCATGTAGTTGTGGCCAATTGTGTTCCCGCATGCTGAAATCACAGAGCATGATACCTTTTCACTACCCATCCTACTCCTTGCACAGCAACCCAGCATCACTGCAGGATGCTGTTATGACTTGATTGAATCTTTTTTTGCTCTCAAAGGTTGGTGTGTCTTCAGGTATAAATATCACCCATCAAATCTCTTAATATCTTTTTACTTTTTTCTTCCCTTTCTTCTTTCTTTCTTTTCTCTTCATCAGACCCTAGATCAATACCACAGATCAACACTAGAGAAAAGCAGAGTTGCTGGGAATTTTCCTTCCCAGAGACATTTTCAGAGACTGTTCTGCCATAAGGTGGTAGAACCTTGTTCTGAAGTCTGAGATCTGCAATATCTTTCGAGAGTCCTGATATCATAACGGTTTGTGGTCTGAAAGCTGTCCAGTGTTACTGCTGGTCTGCACATTAAGGGAATTATGGCTTAGAATTAAGAACAGCAATTAGATCCAGAAGCAAGTGTGGATACATCAGAATGTGTACAGCCCTGGAGTAACATGTTCCTAATACTCATATCAAACAAATTGTGATTTGTGTGGCTTTCCTTTTCTTCTTCAGTGAGAGTTAGAGACAGTGTAGGAATTACTGTAGGAAGCTCTTGGGCTGGGACAAAAAGGTTGTCTTTGGAGTAAATATCACAGTGAAAACTTTCCAGCCTAAGCCTTTCATTAATTTCTCTGTGTCATCTTAATATATTTAAACTCTGTAAGAAATTATGCTGCAAAAAGTTCTCCCCACATGTACTTTTTCCTCAAGTGAAGTGCATACCTTTCAAATTATAAACTTCCTACTTGTCCTAGGAAAATTCTCTCTGTATAAATAATTGAACTCATCTGCTGTGAACACAAGTATTCTTTCCTTGCAGTCTAAAATATATGCCTAAATACACATTTTGTGCTTTAGTGCTTTAAATAGTAATTACTCCTGTGAAGTCACTGGAAGCCCTTAAAAGGATTTGACAGTTTCCCCACAATCTTTCAGTGAATGTAGTAGCTGGGCTGTGCGGTGCTACATCCACTGATAATTCAGCAGCTGAGGAACTCAGCAGAGCCTGCTCCAAACTTCTCAGCTGTTGACAGGCTTGACTTGCTGAGAACACTGGTTAAATATAGCACAAGCGAGCTGAGCTCAACGAAGTCATTGCTGTAACACTGTGTGAAGAGACCAGAAGAGGGGAAATACAATCTGAGAACTAAACTGCCAAAGCCTAACACCACCTAGCAACAGTTGAAAAAACTTTTAAACAAAAGTCTGGGTGAGACACAGACAGAGTATACCTCCTACTCCTCCTGCCTGGGATTTCTGCGGGAAGCAGCTCCGGTCTTCTGTTCTCTACCTCGTTTTCTTCATTACTTCCACTGCTGGTAGACCTAGAAACGTGGGAAAAGTTTCTATCTTTGTGTTCTCCTGAGCTGGATCAGTCTACTGCTGTGGTAGTGCTGTGGGACAAGCTACTGCGATCTTGCAGTGTTAAAGGACATATTCCTGGCTTCGTGTTGCTGACAGGTAAGACTGAGCTCCAGTGTCTTTTTTTTTTTTTTTTTTTTCAAGAACTTTTCCAGTGTCCCTTTTACAAGAATTTTCTTTTCTAATGTATATTGTCTTTTTTCCTTCTTTGAACAATCTTATGAATGGTTTGGAAATATTGTCAGTGGATGAAAGCTGGGATAAAAGTTTTAGATTTTAGGGGTTTTTTACACTTCCACCATAGAAAAGCATTGCTTAAATAACTTTTGCAGTTCTGAGAGCAAGCATAATCAAGTAGCTAGTAGTGAAAAAAGTATGAAAGTATGAAAAAGTGTTGCATAGATTTTGATATGTATCTTGCTTGTATCTGCTTACATGCTGACAGAAGACAAACGAACATTTAATAATAGAATACATATCATCCCTTACCAGTGATAGTCTAGCAGCTATTAAAAACAGTGGCAGCCTGTGTGATAAATAAGAGGAAACAGCCATTCAGTAACAGAATTAACTTTGTGACCCAGTGCATTTGTACTTTTTGTTTCCTTATTAACTCTTAACACATGGACACACCTGGTGCCTTTCGTACTACCTTTGTGACAAGAGCTCTTGGTTCTTTCTCTTGTGCTTATTTACATATAATGAATATTAATCTCTGCTCATTTGATTAGATGTACAATTTAAGTGTCATAATGACTGACCTTATGTTTATTGTACCTAAGTGTCCTTGAGCTGGGTCATTGTTGTTAAAGTGTATGTTTCTTCTGGCAAAATAAATGAGAAGCCGGTTCTCAGATGTTTTACCCTGATAGTAGAATGGAAGTCTGATTGTCTGTTGGAAATGCATATCCTATGACCCCATAAGGATCATGTAATTTAAGGGAGGAGTTGCTTAATATGATATACTTTGTCTAAACTGATAAAAGCTGTTTGATCCATTGAAGAATGAATTCCACTCCCCTCCCCGCCACATATTTTAAAGCCGTTTTCTCCAAAGAAAGGAATCGAGTATGCATGAATCTTTAAAAGACGTACTGGTTATGAGTTCATGTGCAATATGAATTCAGTTGTGAAAGAAAAGATTTAGGGAATGCGCTTAACCCGGGCAAACCCACAGATTTGTATAGAATTGTCTCAGATGAAAAATATTTGTCCTAAAGAAGGAATGAACTAACTGAGTCTACGCTGACTGACTGTGGTGTTTGACACTTAGTCTGATGACTCTGGGGCTGCCTCAGGGAGATGAGAATTACTTGCTTTCACTAAATAATTCTCGTTGCATCCCTGCATACTACATAAATGACATCAATACCACATCTTAGAAGTGGATGGATTGGATGGAATTAAAATACTTTGAAGCAACTCTGACTTGGTGCCTGAGAATGTAACTGCCTGTGAAACAACAAAATAAATGAAGTATTAGGATGGAAGGAAATTCTTAAGAGCAAAAGGTAATACAGTTTACATTTTACTTCATAGCAAGGGGCACATTAAAGCACTAGAAAGAAATATTTTTTGGAGGCCATGATTTAATGTGATAATCATTACTGTGGAATTACTAGAGCACTATGGTATCCCAAATCTAAATCTCTAAAGGAAACTTTGGAATTACTTTTTAATAGGGACATATCCTGAGAAAGTTATTTTTTCATCAGAAGTCTATACAGTGAGGATTAAAACTGAGACAATATGATTTGTATAGTTTTTGTCATCTTGACATTTGAGTGAAAATTACCATTTCTTCTCTTTACTGAAATTTTTGGCAAATAAACTGTGGAGAAATTACTTTCGGAATATAGAGGGATGGCAAAATCTGGGAAAATGATGTGCTGTTATTGACTGTTTTTTCAGTTTAGTTGTTGCTCAGCATAATGTGTGGGTTTACAACTTCAGTTGTCTTGCACAATTCACTTTTAGGAAAGTTTTTAAAATCGAAAGGCATTTTTATTAGCCTGATAACTATCAAATGAGTTGACATTTGAACAGTCTAATAGCAATTCCCAACTCTAACACACTGTGATTTTACATACATCTGTCTTCCTTTCCACTTCAAAATGGAGGAGGAGGCTAAAATTACTCTTCTCAACAGGTGTCCACAAAGAGGCTCTGGGATTTTCCAATCAAATCTGTGGAATATGTAATGTGGCTATTCAACAGATGGTTTCATATTTGAAAAATAGCCAATTCTCCTCCTGACTACAGTGAAACCAAGGTCAACTTTATATCAAATCAAAAAGTAGTTTATGTTTTGGTGATACACTCCACTCTAGAGTTTTTTGTGGAAGACAAGTAGATGTAGCATACCCATTTATTCTCCCCATTTAATGAGATTTTAATTTTGTTTATATTAGAATAACTGTGGAATGAATGGTGCCTTTCATGGTGCTAAAGACTGTGTATTCCTCCCAGTATGAATCCACTTCCAGCCTCTCTGGCTTCTTTGTCTACCTTCATTAAAGCAGTATTATAATTTATTTTATGGTAAGGTTTATTTATTATGAGCTATTATTTAATGATTATATTTTTTTTTTTTTTAATTTTAGCCAATCTAGCCACAGCTAATTCACCATCTCGGCTGAGTGGTTTTTTTCATCACCTCAGTCTTTCAATCTCTTTATAGAATGTCTGCTTGTTTTGAACACCAAACTGAAAGAATCGAAATTCATCTTGAAATCTGAGCACTGTTTGGCGCCTGCTTAGATATGCCTTGATTTTCCTATACCTCTCCCTCTCATATCTGGTAGACTATTAACCTTCACCTCTGGTGTTAACTGGCCCATCCCCTATGCTAGAGATTGATGTAAGAACATCAGAGTTTTCTATTGTGCCACTCACTGTGGCATCTGACACTAATATCATGGAAAGACTGAACTTTAATATTAACAGAGCTATGTGAACCAAGGTAGGATTCCTGAAGATACAGATGTGCTGCCTGGAAGCAACTTGTGGAGTAAGCATTAGTAAATTAGGAAACCTCTATTTTGGTAGTATGCCCTGTTTTGCTCCTTTGGCTCACAATTTCACCACTGTAGCCATTTCCATACTAAAAGGTGTGTCAGTAAAATTTCTCCTGATACAGGACCTTTCTGCTAGCACAGATTCCACACGTGCTAGATTTAAGGCTTTTGGTAATCTTGCCTAATTCTGCTGATGTACCCACAGGCAGACATTAAGAAATTAAGCCTCAGAGCTGTGCCAGTCAGAGGTCGGCTTATGCTACTGAACTCACAGTGAGATTTCCTTTGAATTTAATAAGATCAGGTTTTAGTGTTCAGTAATTAACAGATAAATTTCCAGTCCCCTCAAGAGCATTTAACAAAATGGATCATCTACATTCCTGTCCATACATTTTTTTTTCCTAAGAAACATTTTACTTTTCCTCCAGTTTCCTGTTTCTTACCTTCCTTTCTCAAGGTCTGTCATTGCAGTTTGCCATGCAATCTGAATACATAAACTGAATTTGGAGTGCATCTCTAAAATGCAATTTGGAGAAATAGAGTGAATATTTGTGAAGAAGCCAGATGAAACAACAACACAAAGGAAATGGAACTCAATCTATTCATACTTCCTATTTCACCAAAAATATTTAGTATATAAAATCTAGGCTAAGAACTGAAAGCTGGGAAGATAAAATAGTGTACGTGATAAAATAAGGATATTCTGTTCTATAGAATAGTTTCAGAAGCCCAAACACCTAAACTTTTCAGCTTTGCCATCTTATTGTAGTTCTTTTAATTTCTAGACTTTTTTCATTTCTCTCAGTGTTTCCTACTGAAAGTTGTTTCCTAATTTTATCCAGAACACTAGTAATTATTTTGGGAATATGGACTTCTCTTGATTTTGGAGGATATTGGATAACTGGGGAAACAATTTATAAAATATTACGATTTCTTAACCTCTTTTTTTCTATTTAGTACCTAGTATTTGTACCAACTTAGTGCTACTAGAACTTGTAACAGTCCTATAGTTATGCTTTGAGGTTAGGTGTCCAAAGGACAGAAACAACTGGGCCTGTGTCCTGGTCAGAAGAAATAGTGTGAGTCTCTGATCATGTTGAAAATTGTGGGACATCTAATGTATTTCTGAAAATCGTGCCTTTCAGGGTACCTGATTAAATTTTTCCTTTTATTTTGGGTCTCGTCAGCTACTCCTCCTGCTTCTGCAGATCATCTGTACTTTCTATATTACTTTTTATTCTTAGCATCATAGTAAAATAAGTACTAATATCAGTGCAAACAGAAAGTCTTCCTATGTTGGGATAGCTGTGCTTTTTTTAATTCAAGATGGCTTTGCCCTCTCATTCTCATTCTGCTTTGGCTGGGCTATATCTCTAAATCTAAATCCACAAGCAAAGCACACAAATTGTAGCTCTAAAGATGATATGTAAGATTACATAGATTGTGCCCTCCTCCACAATGTTTTACACCCTCAGAAATACATACAGAGACAATTCCTACAATTAAAAGCTTAACTAAAACTCAATAGGGAGTGTACATATGCGTGTGCATGTGTGTATGACCGTTGTAAGAAAGGAAATGTTTTTTTGGCATTACAGAGTGCATTGCTGAAGGAGTGGGACAAACACATCCGAAGTACGGGGAAATAGGCTGGAGCTTGTACTTTTTCCCTTAAATGGACAACCCGTCTGGTTGCTGTGTGCTGACAGAAGCAAAGGGGTGTGTGAATCTAAAAGGCTGCTGTACTTTGTCCAAGTGAGTTTCATTTCAAAGCTGATAAAATGACAATTAAAATCTTAATTGTCAAAGATGTGGCCAGAATTATTCAGATTTAGACCAGTGGGGTTTCAGAACAAGAGCAAAACGCTCAATGAATTTGCAATGAACTTTTCCAGTTTGATTTATACACTTTCAGTGCTCTTTAGTACAATAAGAGCTGCTTTCATTGCTTTTCCTTTTTGGGGAAATGGTGTCAAAGAGTATAGTGTTTTGTGATTTGTGCTGTTCAAAAGTCTGCTCCAGCGCATATGTAAAAGTGATATTTTGGAAGATAAATCCATTTTCTATCTGAAGTCCACAGTA